TTTTGAGAAACGATGTACAAATGCGCTTTACACAATTGATGTGTGTATGGATTGGGATAACAGTTGTATGAGCCCCTAATCAAATGTTAAAAAAAGAAAAAAGAAAATCAACTGAAGGACAAAAGGGGTGTAGAAGAGAGTCGTAGGGACCTGTGGAATGAGGATTTAGCGTTCATATACAAGAGACTTCAAAATGTTTGTGGAAAAAAGTAGAATTAAAAGATCATAGAAAATTTCCACAAACTTTTTGAAGCCTCTTGTATCAGAAGCACAGAAAAATGAGAAGAAATGAGAGTGAAGTTGAAAATGTATCTGAAAAAATAGCTGAAAACTCCCCAAAGTTGGCAAATTATATAAACCTACAGATTTAAGAAGCTGAGGGAATTCCAAAGAGAAGACCCAAACAAAACAGGAAATCATTGCCAGCCGGTCTATTCCAACTCACAGCAGCCCTAGAGGACAAAGAACTGCCCCACAGGGGGCAAGACCATAATCTTCAAGGAAGCCAACTGCCATGGCTTACTCCCAGAGTGACTGATGAGTTTGAACCACCGACCTTTGATGATAAGCTAAGTTCTTAACCACTGTGCTCCAAGACATCTTCCCCATAAGATCCTCCTAACACAATCCACACATTAGTCTCCAGCTTACGCAATCTTCTGGACCAGCGGTTCCCAACCTGTGGGTTGCGACCCCTTTTGGGGGGGGGTGTTGAACCACCCTTTCACAAGGGTTGCCCAATTCATAACAGTAGCAAAATGACAGTTCAGAAGTGGCAACGAAAATAGTTTTATGCTTGGGGGCGTCACCACAACATGAGGGAATGTATTAAAGGGTCACAGTATTAGGAAGGTTGAGAATCACTCTAGACTCATACGTCCAAAGTATTTCAGACTTAGCACTTCCAGACTAACTCTACTTGTGCCCCCTCCCACAAGCTCTGCAATTAGCAGCTCTGGTTGCTCAGCCCAAAAGTCTCAGGAATTTTTCTGAATCTTTTCTTTTCTCACACTCCACGTTGACTGTCGCAGGACACCCTGGCACCACTTCAAAACCTATCTTGGACGCAATGATGTCTCTCTCCTCCCACTGTCACCAGTGGCTTCCACATTTACCCTTCTACCAAACCGAACACCACACTCACTGCCCCCACGCTGACTGTGACTCACAGCAAGCCCCTAGGACAGGATCGAACTACCCTGTGCATTTCTGCGTGGAACTCTTGACAGGATCGAACTACCCTGTGCATTTCTGCGTGGAACTCTTGACAGGGTCGAACTACCCTGTGCATTTCTGCGTGGAACTCTTGACAGGATGGAACTACCCTG